TTTACTCGACACTTTTGTGAAACGTACAAGTAAATATGATATTGACTGGGGTAAATGTATTGCTATATGCACAGATGGCGCTAAAGCTATGACAGGACATAAATCTGGTCTTGTCGTCAAATTACAAGAAATAATGCCTAATGCCAAATGGAGACATTGTTTTTTACATCGAGAAGCTCTTGCGTCCAAAGCTTTACCTCCTGAAATGGACTGTGTTATGAAAACCATCATTAAAGTTGTAAATTCCATTAAAGGAAAAGCTTTGCAGACCCGTATTTTTAGAAAAATTTGCGAAGACATGGGTGCTTTATTTGAAAATATTCTCTATCACACCGAAGTAAGGTGGTTTTCAAGGGGCAACGTCTTAAAAAGAGCATTTCACTTAAGATCAGAGCTTTTAATGTATTTGAAAGATGAGAAGTCCCCATATGAAAATCAATTTTCCGATCCTATTTGGCTTCTGAAACTAGGTTTCCTTGCTGATATTTTCGAGCAATTAAATATGTTGAACAGTAATTTACAAGGTCGCGAAATTAATATAATTACAGCAACAGATAAAATTAAGGCGTTTCTAAGAAAAATCGATTTATGGTCGACCTCACTTTACAAAAAACAACTCGATTCATTCCAGTGCCTTCAGGAAATTATGGAAAATGTATCCAATTACAGTGCTACAAATTTTGAACTAGTTTTTGCTGACATGCATGTTACTTTGCTCAATTTAAAACAAGAGCTCTGTGATTATTTCCCCGAAGAAATTTAAAACAGTAACGACAGTTGCAGATGGATGCTAAATCCGTTTTTAGCCGATTCCTTTCAGCATCTTGAAATACCAATTAACATGAAAGAAAAACTTATTGAAATATCAAGTAATGGAATGTTGAAGCTCCAATCTTTTTCCCAGAACTCGGACCAATTTTGGACCGAAAAGATGCAGGAATGCCCCCAGTTGGCGAGTGAAGCTATAAAATGTTTGGTTCCATTTGTAACATCATATTTGTGTGAGTTAAGTTTCTCGTCTATGACTGCCATTAAAACAAGAGTTAGAAATCGTCTCGTACTTGAAAATGATATAATTGTGTGTGTCTCAAATACACAGCCTAGATTTGAAAGATTAGTTTCACAGAAACAGGCGCATAGCTCTCATTAAGATTATAATATTTGACTTTGTTTTACTCTTTTATTTTTGTTAATATTTAGTTTTATATTTCGTTTGATAATTAATTGTTAATTTCTATTTACGGCGTTGTTAAAATAAAAATACATGATCTAACAAAGTGATGCTTTTGTCTTATTTTGGAAATGTTCGGCGACCCCCCTAATACCTCATGGCGACCCCCCACTTTGGGAAACACTGACTTAGATAATAAAAACACTATATGATATTTTGTTATTACTAATCCAAACTCTTTTTATGTGCCTACGTTAATATTTAATAAACTTTATTAAAATTGCTTTATTTTCCACTGATGCATTAAAATAGATCAATATTAAATAGCTATTATAAAATATTTTTTCATTTATTATTCACATCATTCTTTTAGATTTATTGTTATTATCGTAGTAGGTATATTAATAAATGGCTACGTCGATATTCCCAACTGCACTTGTTTGTCAAAGTTAAGGTTATAATATTGATTTCCATGAAAACAGTCGGCGGTCATTTAATAACACACGTGAATGTTTCATTACTAAAAGTTTCCTTTTTATGTTAACCGTATACAAATGTACCATCGATTTGCATTGGTTAATTTTGTAGCTATTAAAACGCTAATTATAAGTCAAAATGGCTGGGAAACTTGATATAAAATAAAAATTATCTGTTTTTCAGTATGCATATAAGAATAAATTCTTCGAATTGTGACATAAGAAAGAATTAAAAACTATAATGTGTTTATTTATTTAGTATTTGTTATCATTGAGTTAAACATGTTTATTAAGATTATGTACCTAATTGGTAAGACAAAAATACGATACCATATGATAAAGTAGGAAGAGTAACCGGGCTGTCGCCATTAAATGACAAGCAATACATTAGTCGATCTATGTTGATGACATATAAATTCTAGCAGGGATGGCACGCGTAAAGGTTTCCAGTGTATTAAATCTAGGCCCACATGGCTAATGTATGGCAACCTTAGCAGAAGAGTTTCTCATCCAGATTGGATGTTATGTATCACAACCCTAGCAGTTGTACCAAATCAGTTCTTCCTTGTACCCAAAAAAAGAGAAGCCAGATCAAATGACAATGACTACGTGAAGAAAATGTAACATACAGATGATATCCAAAATCTGCTCAGTGTATTGGACAGAAGTATACAATGGATGTAACAAGTCTGCAATTAATTAGATAGACCGGGGATAGCATTGTGGAAGAAAAATTGTATAATTGTGATGCTAAAGATCACAAATTAAACACTGGCTTCATAGTCAATAACAAAATTTAACACTTTATAAGAGAGCTTCGTGCGGCAAATCCAGAATGTGTATGTTGGGATTAAAAGTAGCATTTTTCAATTATAACTTTTAAAATGTGTATACTTCATCTAATTTACTTACCGTTGAACGTCATCCGCGTCATAGTCTGTGAGGTCACATGATACCAACACGACATATTTAGGCGGGTGTTCTTTTTTAGAATCACTTTGCCGCGTACACTGGCATTAAGGATTCCCCAAACCGACGCGAAACTTTCGCAGCCGCAACCTACGCGGAATCGCGGCGAATCGCAAGGCACGGCGACTTATGCAGGTGTTTAGACAAGTTTGGGTGGAATCCGCAATGGTCGCGGCAGATCAGCGTTGTTTTCATGAAACGCTGCATGCACGGTTTTTTCCGCTGCAGTTATAGTTTCGTCGGTCAGATAGCTCAGCGGGCTGTGCGGCTGCCTCTCATTCGCTTTACTGTCGAATGGTTCAGTGGATGTGGGTTCGAGCCCCAGCTCGGTGTACAGAAAACAAAAAGTCTAACGCAGCAGTTTAAAATTCTAGATGAATCTGCGGCTTAGACTAGGATATGCTGGGATCTGATCGGCCTATGGTGGAGCAGTACGGCAAGAGATAAGGGCTTGCGGCTTGGTGATACTCCTCCATAGATCCCTACCGGACGGGCGTAACGCCTAAAAAACCGGATATATATATATATATATATATATATATATATAGTTATATATATATATATATATATATATATATATATAGTTATATATATATATATATATATATATATATTATATATATATATATATATATATATTTATAGTTTCGAGTGAAATAAAATGACTGTTACAGAAAAACTAATTGAAATTGTGAAACAATATCCTATAGTTTATGATTTAAGGGACGAAGATTATAAAAATATAAGAAAAAAGTTTCATTGGAATTTTAACAAGAACAAGAAACAGCTGGCTTTTGCACTTACAATTCAAATACTAGATGTTCTTCTCGGAGCAATACACAGGTAACACCAATACTTTCCCCTCTAGGTGTTGATACTAACAATACTGAATGTGTCCATACCAAGTTATTGTTTCTGGAGCTACCTGTTTTTTTCAGTTTCGGCAAGTGCCAATAGTAGAAGAGCTTCTTCTTCATCAGACGAAGTCATTATGTATTTGTAAGCTACGACTAAACGACAAAAAATATAATTTGTTCACATTTGTATAGCGAACAGCCGCGTCGGGTTTCGCGCCAATGCCTTGTCCGCTACCGTCTCCGCTTGCGAATGTTCCGCAACGGAAAATTCGCGTCTCAAAAAGTTTCGCGTCGGTGTGGGGAATCCTTTACAGATACTAGACATTTTTTATTATATACGCGTAGAAATAATATTTAAAGATTTCTATTAATGTTAACGTAACACTTATTTGACAGTTGCGATGCTGACACTTTTTGTACTTTATTATTTTGAATTTTAAAGTGAATACCTCTTGTTTTATATTTTTACCTATTTAATAAAATCTGTTTTTTTTTAGAACAAAATTAGTGTGTTTTATTTCAAAAATGTCACGTGAGAATTTTAATAGTCGTTGTAAAGAGATGGTAATACTTTTGCAATAATTATGTGACCTATTTGATTTAAAATGGATTCAGGATTTTTTTTATACTTTGGCAACTATGTCAACTTCGATCTCTGTCAATGATAATGACGTGCAACGGTAAGTAAATAGATGGAGTATATATCCCTAGGCACGCAATAGAAGATGAAGTCAAGAAACAGTTTCAATTCAAGAAGCATTATAAGCTATATGTCATACATGCCCAAAGTTTAACTTCAAAATTATTTATGCTGACCTAAATAAAAAGTAATGTCGACAGCAATTCCAATCAACCTAACAAAAGCGATAACTATCAATCAAAGACAATGAAAACTTCTATCAATCAAAAAAACAACAATACATGTGACTGCTGGTCGTCATCAGTACGGTGCAGCCAAGTTAAGGATCACTACAGGAGCAATGCGACCAATTTTTGGCATTAGGCCACAGATGATGGTTCCAGGCCAACAACTAACGATAAAAACGGAGGAAACTACAGTTCTTCCGTTAAATATCTGTTAAAGTTAGGTATAGTTTATCAAATGTTAAAACTAAGTTTTTTTTAATAACATCAAAAAAGTTAAGAGATTTTTAAATACACGCTTTGAATCACCTCGTCTATTAAACATACAGAAATCTTTAATAATATACATTCATGATTTTAATATACAGTGCTTTATATTTAAAATAAGGAAGTTTTAGTCAATTTCCAGTACAACCGGAACTGGTTAGAATAATTGGGCATATCTAAAAACTGCTCATCCTAAATTCTCACATATTAATTATCTCAAGTTTCTCTAAAATTTTCAATTAGAACCTTTAAAAAATCAGCCTGTATAATAAAGTTATTATTATTAATAACTTTATTAATTGAAATATCAAGTAAAAACTGTGAAGTTTAGTAATCTTGCGCAAGCAAATAAAAAATATATAATATAAGATTTGATTAACAGAATTTTAAACTTACTTGAGATGCTTCCCACGCTAGTTCATTCCATTCTTCTGTTGATACTGCTCCAGATGGTCGAATAGGCACTTTTCTGCGTAAATGTTCGGGTAAACTTGAATTTTCTCTTTCCCATTTCTGTAAATAAAAAACTTAGGTAAGTCAATACAAATGCATAGAAAGAACCTTAGATTAATGAAACCGGTAGATGCAACATCGACAAGTGCGCAACCTGTACGCTTCCCCTTAATCTACCCTACCAATTAAAATAAGCAGACAGAATATACCTCTCCAGCACTGTCCGCCGGCAATAAGTTGTTTTCTGATTTAAATGGTTTACGTTAAATTGTGTGATTTTGTATGTATCTTGTATGAGTTTGTATCCTCCCGACTATCTGAAGAGGTAGGGCATACAGAAATAACGTTATAATGGTACACCAATTCATACACGGAAAGTTTGATGAATTGTGTTCATTTCGCCTTTTATTTTTTTTATATTCGGCGTCTCATTTCATCAAAGCCGTATCAAAGCTCTTGCTGAAATTTGTACATCTTAAATTACAATGTTTTCACGTCTACACGTAACTTTGACTATTGAACAAAAGACCAAAGTTCTCAAGTTAATACAAGGAATTAGCTACAGTTTCATTTCAAAACAGTTTGGTATTGGCAAATCTCCAATTACGGACATTAAAAGAACAAAGAAAAGATCGAAAAGTTTGTCTGGTCTGTTCCCTAGAAGAGGAAAACTTCCAAACTCCACAAATATCCGAAGCTAGGAAGTGCGTTGTTCATGTGGTTCCTACAACAGCGGAGAAAGCATGTTCCGGTAAGTGGTGAAATGGGTGAAAAAGCCCGTCATTTTCATCGTGAAATGTCACCAAATCACCAAGCTTTTAGCGCAGGTAAGGGTTGGTTGGACAACTTCAAACGACGTCATTGAGTTGGACATCTCAAAATTACTGGTGAGAAACCTTCGAGTAATGCCAACGGCATCCAACCCTTCCGAACTGCATTTGAAGAACAAATGATTAAAAACAATTTGACACCTAAGCAAATTTACAATGCAAATGAAAGTGGATTATTTTGACGCATGTTACCAGAGCACACATTGGTGCCATCTCAAGAAAAGTCTTGTCACATCTGTTGATCTTGTTGAGGGCAAAAAAGTGCAGGGGTGACAAGAGATTTTTTATTGGATTGGTTAAAAACTAAATTTGTCCCTGATGTTTGTCGTCATCTCGCCCGTGTGAACCTCCCTTCAGGAGGCAGTGTTGCTTCTGGACAACTACCCTGGTCATCCATCCGCTGATAAACTTCATAGTGAAGATGGTAAAATTTCTGCCATGTTCTTACCACCTAACATGACAGCTATGATTTAACCAATTGACTAGAATGTCATCCAGAACACAAAACTGTGCTATCGAAAAGCTTTACTCTCCAACAACCAAAACGGATCTGGTCGAAACTGTGAAGACAGTTAATCTCAAGGACGTCGTTTTCAATTTGGCAATTGTTGACACCCAAGAAATGCTCAAGGATAAAGAACGTGTAAGGGTCATTCAAAATGAAGAAACGGAAGAGGAGGATGTCGATGACGAACCACCTGCTTCAAAAACTTCTGCTGCTAAAGCTGTTAAAGTCCTAAACACGGCCATCAGTTGGGCAGAAGACAACTCCAATAGCAGCGAGGAGATCATGATGCTGAGGCGTTTAAGAGACGGAGCATTTGATCAGCACGTAGAGCCTGGAATCCAGAAAAAAATTACAGATGTTTTTACTGCTCCCCATTGAAGTTTATATAGATAATATGTACCTATTTATTAAATATATTGTATATATATTTGATAATATAATATTTTACTAATATACATAAAGCATTTGCAGTCATTTTCATGGTGTTTTGCAGTTTTGCTTCTCCCAATAAAAAAGTCATAGGTAATCTGAACGATGCGATCATCCGAACAACCCTTTCTTCCGCTTCCGTTCGGATGAACGCCAACGTACTGTCACCGAACAACACTGTATTCGCTCCGTGCGTGACTGACGCGACACCTACCTCTTTCATCTGACAGTTTTGGACCTCCAATTTTCAGGTTAAACATATGACATATGTTTGACATTGTTAAATACATGCGAAATTAACATTTATTAACAATTAGTTTTTTAACTATATTTTTTCAGTTTCTGTACAAAATAAATATAGTATTAAAAACTGGGTTTCTCAAAATTCATCATCTTTCAACCCCATATATATCTTTTCAACCCCAAACGAAAAAGAAAGGGAAAAATCTAATACTGGCAAATCAAGTTTTTCACTTGAAAGAGCATTTAATTAAAAACAATAATAGTAAAACTTATGATATAAAAACTCAAGTCATCAGGCAGTAGTCACTCTGCAGTTAGCTTGAAGCCTTTGAAATATCATTATTATGTAAATTATTTAAATTGTTCCTATTTAAATTGCATAAAAATGAAATAATGTGATATTTACTTTTTCATATTAAAAGCACGAATCCATCTTTTTCTTTTCTCTAATTTATATGTAATCTTTGGCAACCTATAAAAATTACACCTATTTTTGCTATTATTAGCACAATTAAATACGCAACGTATTTGCACACATTTTTGATAAAATTTATGCGTAAAAAGATAGGTCCAATTTTGCCATATTTCGCCGGTACGCACGCTGGCGTCGTTTCAAGTAATCCCTACCATGGTCACGCACGGAGCGAATATAGATATTATATCTGTACCTCGGAGAGATACAACACTATGTCCATTTTTTTCAATTTTGACATTTTTTTTCACTAATAATATTTTTCACTAATAATCAATTTTCATCACTTTATTTAACGGAATAAGCACTAGGTCCTAAACTATTTGCTAATTCAATTAGTGACCTTTAAAAGAATATCAAGCCCATTTGCACTTAGAGGGACAGAACACAATATGGACTGTTTTATTCCTCTACACATGTGAATAATTAGCCCCGCACATAGTGTTATATATGTTATAGTGTTTACTGTTGTTTGTTACTAATAATAAGAATAATGTACCATAATTCTCTTGAAGGAAAGATACTTTAACTACTGTAAAGTTCTGCGAATTCTTCTACTGCATTTACAGGCAAGCTACCTTTTTTGCTCATTATTTTTAAATTATTAAAACCTCAAAAACTTAATGTAATGATTTATTACCCACCTTAGCCTTAACCAATATTATAAGCCTAGTTTTATTTCAGAATCAAATAATACACCAAGCAATGATGTTTTAAATGAAGAGCATATTATTAGAGACACAAATACTCACAATCCAATGTTATTACTGTTTGATATGTTTATACTTTACTAACATAAACAACTTTTCTAATAAAAAAACACAGCTATAAGGATTCGACATATCTAAGAAAAACAAACTATGTACAAATTTCTATGTATAATTACCAAAGTGAATCTCTGGTAAATATCTATAACGAAAATAATAAAAACTAAATTTATATACAACAGAATGAAAATTCCTATTAAAGAAACTTACATTATGTTCGAAAATACAACCAAACAATACAAATATTTTAATTAATATACAAATCATAAAACAACTGTTTCTATTTTCCTTTTTTACCTAGGTTACACATTTTAAAGACAGGTTCGTTATCAACTAATCTAAAGCAGTAATTTAATTAGCAGTAATTTTTAATGTCCAAACTTCAATATTATTTGAACCAAATACATGCAATGAATCACATACTTGGTTTTAAATTAGTTGACAACAAAACAGATAGAAAGCATTATAGACGATATCAAGAAGTAATTGGTCAAGTAAATAACCAATCAATCACAATCATTAAAGAATCATCATCACTCAGAAGTTTGTACTAAAAGATCACACCCGCATGGAGGCGGACACTGGTAATGCGCTGATAAAGCGAAAGAGAAAAAACAGAATTTCTACTTTAACGTCCTAGAACTGGCAGTAGTTCTAGTCTAGGTTCTAGTAGTAGTCAGACAAAACTCAATGAAATATACCGTACATAATATGGAACTAGATTTTAAAAATTTTAGGTCATTGCATGATCTCAAAATCCGCCTTTAATTAATAGAAAAGGATACATTAACAAACAGTGCTCCTGTCAAACTCTGTTTAACTACAAGTAAAACAAAACAGCATGGTGAAAAGTAATTTTCATGATGAAAATCAGGATATTAACCTTGTTAGGTTTCGAAGGCGACACTTTACATTGCCAAAAGTGACTATCTAGAAGGAGACTTCCTTCACGATGACTGAGTCGTTTGTACGTAAAATATCATTTTGGTTAAATACATAGATGTATTATTTGTATTTGAAAAGGTGAATTGTATTTGTAAGTCTTTAATTATAACAAATGAATTATGTAGATAATAATAGATAGAATGTTCTGTTAAAATATTGTTTTAACTTCTCAATAAATAGCTGTTATTGGTAAAAATAATAAATCGGAAGACGTAAATGCGGATAACTATAAAAAGAACTGTAGATTTGTATATTACATTTAGGTCAACGAGATGCAAAATTACCTCCGTAACCTATGAACTTCTAAACTTCAATCTTCACTTTACGTTATTATGAACCAGAAAACAGACTATTAATCTTTTCCGTAATGCTAGAAGGTTCGCAATTTTAAATTTGACCTACATTTTTATTTCCATCCTCGGGCTTGGAATAGGTAGCTAATTCAAGATGATCTTGATAACTAAAATTATCGTGACCGAATATTCCTGTACTTCAGATAATATTATTTCTCGGAAGACTATAATGACTTTATGGCAACACGTAATAGTTCATCAATATGTTTGATTTGTCTTCAGAAAAGTTTCTTAAAACAAAATCATCAGTTTAATTTATTGTTTTTCGTCCTATAGAATCAATGGTTTTATTTATCTACTTATTTTCTAATCGTCTAATGTCCAATGTCTAATTTTTTACTAGATCTATTCTTTTGACAAAAAAATTATTGATTTTATCTATACAACTAAAAAACTTTAGCCATGAAGTTCAAATCATAAGAAGAGTCAAGCATTTAGATTTAGACAACCCCTCCAAAAAATTAAAAAAAAAAACAAACAAAAAACAACTAACAAAAAACTAACAAAACGTCG